AACCACAACAAAAAACTTCTCTCTGCACAGTAAGCTTTATTCTCATTTGATCAGAACAAAAATCTTGGGGATTGTACAGCAAGGATCAAAGGAAAGAAACACAGAACAATTTGAATGCCATAAATCTGATAGGAATGGCTAATTAAATTTTATAACCTCTGCTTATGTCAATAGAGACCCTCTCCCCAAGCTGAAACTAGGTGTTTTGTTGTAATAATTAAAGGCGAAGTCTCGCTTGCTTTAATGGAGCCATCACACTAATTGAGGGCTACACATCCAAAGGAAAACAATAATGAATGTAAATTTATACCAAAATAAAGTACAGTGAATCAAAGGACTTCAGTTGCGCTTTGGGCCTCTTTCGGTATTTAGATCTCGGTGAGAAAACATTAAATTAACAGAGCTTAATTTGTAGCCTTTTGTCAGATTAACAAGTGTTGACAAGAGTTACCGGGGGAGAGTCCCCAAGAAGTATTGTGGGTAACCAATAGACAATCACACCTCATTACAATAATTAAAAAATACAGCAACATGCAAAACAGCATCCTCATGAAAGACACACAACTTTTTCTGATTGAGGTTTGTCTGTGCTGGCTAGTTCTTTTCATCTGTCCTTCAAATACATCATCTGACTGGGCAGGATGCTTTCTGGGGGGGTGCTATGCTGGAGACATGCAGGCCAGTTGAGGATAGATGGGTTGGGAAGTTGATGGTGAAGCACAAGTGGCAAGAACAGAGGAAATAAAAACCTTGGGTTACTTCTCCAAAGTTGGCCATGCTACTCTCCTAGAGCAAAAGCAAATGTGATGGCATTGCCCCTCAACAAAAACCACTTAGAGAAGCTGTAAGAGCTGTGGGTAGATAAGTACGCCATGGGTGTTGACTTGTTATAAACCAGTGGTGAGGACACTGACAGGAGCAGCCATTAACACCTGCCCGATGACACTGGCCACACGTGGCAACATTCGTGTGGTTTGGCAGCCATGACATGAGGTTGAAGGAGGACAAACCTGTGTCTGCACACATAAGGATGTAAGGCTCTGAGACACAGATGAGCAATGAGGTCAATGACAGTGAGGAATTTCTTCCCTGCACTCTTGTGTCTTTAATGTTACTGACTTTTGGCATTAGCTGAGTATATTCATTTTAAATGCTGAGGCTGTTACTGTGCAAACTTGAGCTAAGCAGTTGCAACAGAGGAGCATGAGATGGCTGTGCTGCAGCTAGGCCCTGCAAGCAAGAAAGAAGAAGAAAAGGAACTGACATGCATTCTACCAGCATTCAGACTGTCCTACATAAAAAGTAAATCACCACAAATGAGGAGGAATTTAAGATTTCAGGCAGCAATGCTCTGGGTTTTTCTTCTGCTCACGCTGTGCTCTTGCAGAGAAATGGCCTTCTGCAGAGAGCTGATGGACATCCTTCACCCTCAGGCTGCGAGAGCCTCTACCCAAACAAGTTGCACGACCACCCTGTGAGGAAGGGCAGCCTGCAAAGTGGCCAGAAGCGGGCTGCTGGGGCCGAGGGCTGAGCTCCAGCTCTCCTGCATCCACACTTCTGTGCTTGAGAAAGGCCCCCAAAGCCTCTTCTTGCCTGAGACCCGGGGGTGTGTGGGCACCTCCTGCTCTCCTACAGGGTGTGAACTCCACTTTCTTACAGAGGGCAAACTTGCAAAGAGGTATTTTAGCACAGCTTGGCCAAACAACCCCAAGCAGGAACAAACTATTTCTAGCTTTGGGCAATTAATTTCTAATGAAATGTGTTCTCTGCAAAACTGATGAGGCCTGTTATGTGAGAAAAGTAGGGGAATAGTCTTGATTTATAATGCAGAGAACCATTGTAGCCAGCAATACAAATGTATATTTTATAAGTACTTAAATCAAATATACTGTACAAAAGCCTAGGCAATGCTTAAGTGCATTATAAACCCATTGCAGAGACTGCAGCATAAGAAAGAAAAACGAAAATAAGGACTTGATTACTGGAGGGAACCTCATACCCAGCAAGGTTCTGCAAGTGGGATAACAAGGAACTGAAAAGAAAATAAAACCCCAAACTAACTTTCCACGGCTTTTTTCTTAGCAGTTTTAAAGTAAACTAATTCCTCTTTCTTGTTTGCAAGAAAATTCCATTCCTCAGATGCCAACTGCCCAGCCACGTCTCAACCAGGAATGCTGCTCACTGGCCGATGTAAAGCTCTACTGTTTCACAGAAAAATGAAAGGGGTTTCAACGGAGAAGGCCAGTGAAACTTAAAACTGCACATTTATAGTGAGGATGGCCCTGGTAAAAAAAAGAGTCCATGAGAACCACCCCAGAAAACCAAATCTGAGAAAAACCCATGTGGTGCAGTGTAAGGGCATTAACAAGAGGACATTTTTGCAGAAGGGTTTAAAAATTCGTGCTTCACGAGCCATCGGCCGGTTGAGATGACATGCAAAGCTGTGTCCAACTGCTCATGTTTGTTTAAGCCCACATGACCTGGCCTAAGTTTTAATTAATCTTCATGAGGTGGGTAAATTCATAACCACTCAATGAAGTGGCTGTTGGCAAACAGACTTATCTCATTGCACACACACATGCGCACACACACACACGATTTTTAACATGAATTTTACACATCAAAAAAGAAAAAGGAAATAAAAAAAATGGAACTCCTTACTGTGGTACTAACCATCCTAGCGGATGGGGGATTTGTCCTACAGTGCCCGGTGATAACGGATAATAAGGAGATATATCTGGAGGATGTGGAGGCCTTGGAATTCCTATGGAAGAGGAACATAAAGCAGCATTAGTATAGAGACATGGAAATAAATAAAATATAAGGAAAAAACACACGTGTTCCTAAATTGCTATCTATTGATTTTTATTATAATACTCATGGCTTCACTTAGGGTTTCCAAAGGCTGTTTCACAGTCTTGTTTTTAAAGTGAGCCTCTTGGCATCTTGTTAAATGAGATACAACAAGATAAAATTGATGTGATTCGCTCCCTCATTCACCTCTCCAATCAGAGATAATTATTTTGTTATTTAGGATAAGAATTTAGGAGTCTCAACTATAGTTTCGGTGTGACGCTGTGCTAGGTGCTGTCTTAAATGCTCTACAGAAAGATGGTCCCTGTATCAACTTCATAGTTATTTTAGGCTCAAAGTCACCAAAAGAGCACAGGCCCTACCCATACGTTGACTGGGTACTCAACAGCGTGGCGTTATTCCAAAGTAACCTCCAAAATGAATTAAAAAATCATTACAATTTCAAATTATGTTTGCTCCTGAGAAAACCTAGGAAAACTTTCCTGAAACCTAGGAGAGGAGGTGAGAGCCCCTGGAAATGTTTGGCAAAATGGGGGGCAGATGTTGAAGGTGTGCAGGGGAGGAGAGCGAGCCCATCTGTCCTCTCTGAAAACGGTGCAGTTCCCACTCGGAGAGCAGAAACCAGCTCCAGACGCGAGCCTTAAATCTTAATGCTCCTTACCTTAAGAGCAAGTAGGAATTACTCAGAGGAGTAAGGGTTACAAGACTGGGTCTTTCAATTAACAAGCCAGAGCACAATTACACAGCAGAAGCAAAATTAAAACAGCATTAAAAGGAAGGGGTACTGTATTCATGGCTAAAAACTATTTTTTTAAGTCACTCGGGAAGCTTTTAATCTCCAAATTAAATCTCCTTGTGTGACATTTTCATGCAGACATTGCTTTTTCTCCATTACAAAACCCAAACAGATTAACGGGGCTTTAACCATCCGGCGAGCTATTTGCACACTTGAAAGAATGTTCACAGAAGAAAAGTAAACAGTCTACAGACGTTAATCATATGTTTTACGATAACCATTTAAAAGCTATTCCCTGTACTACCATTATTTAAATGAGAGGTTGACTATGCCATTCACTTGCAATACCCAGAGATGGCGAGATGGATTCCTTTTAAGCCACGTGAAGCTAGCATTAAGCACAATTAAAAGGGGGCCCCAGTTGAAGCATGGGGAGTGAAAACCAGCTAATGCACAGCCTCATTCAAGGGCTGGAGTTGAGATAAATTATCTGCATACGTTAGGGCTGACACAGAGCGACTCCTTTGACGTGAATTCAGTTTCTGATGTACTTTCCAATTAACTAGCTGGGATTTGGATTAACCAAAACAAAACTACTGTCACTGGGAACTCAATGCAGCCTGAAGAAAGAAGATTGACACTGTTTGACTTCTCTGGGCCCTCAGGTTAAACAGGGACTCTTAAAAAGTTAGAATAACATGTAAATTCTACTCTGTAACACCAATAAATCTAGTCAGGGGTTTACGCGGTGCTCTATATTCAAGAAGACTGCCCTTCAGGCTGAACTGGGAGTTGGGTAGACTTACATTGGGGAAAAGAGTTGCAAGTGTAGAGCTGGAGCTAAGTAGTTAGAGTGGATGAAAATTCAACATTATAGGAGAAAAATGGCTGAACTCCTGACACAGAAACAATGGGATTTGGGGAATTAAGAGAGATTCATTTTGAAACCGGTCATGACCCACCACCTTTAAAATTCCAGCTGCAATTTTGTAAGTGCAGATCACAGAATGTACATGTTTAACTCTCTGGGTCGCGCATGCAAACGAAGCACTCAGTAGATCCAACTACTAGGTGGGGTATCATGCTTGCAAAGAAACACACTTGGAAACGACCCCACACATGCAACTCCGGTGTCACCCCGCAGAAGCTTTATGACAATTTACTCAGTAGGCTTCCTTCTGAAGCCTAACTGGCTTAAAAAAGAAACTATTTCGTCTGGGTTCTTGCATGCGTTTGACATTTTACATGCCCCCTTTGGTGCTCCAGCATGGGAAATCCTTCCTCCCGCACTCCTTCCCCCTAATACGCAAAATGGAAAGATCCACCCACCCACTCTCAAAAAACCCCAAACTATTTCCCACCTACCTGTTTTGGGATCTACGTCGGCTGGTAAGTGTGGAGGAGGGTTTCCTGGTGTGAAGTGCTCATTGCTGTACGTGATAAGCGGCGTAAGAGGGTGTACATGGTGTGGGTGCTGCACAACTGGCACTTTGTTAGACTGTCAAGAGAAAAAGGTGGATGGCGTTAGAGGAGCGCCAGGTACTCCCCACCGTAGCACGAGGCACGAGTATCCAGGATTTCAACACGGTCCTGACTTTTCCAGATCCCTTCGTGGCATCACCCTTGCAGTTTTCCCACCCTCTTGCTTAAAACCTCCTCACACACTTTCCCTGCTCTTGAGTTTCTTTAATCTTTTTGACCTGTCGTGCTCCTGTACGGAGCAACACCAATTCTTCAAAATTTTTCCTTTTTATTTTATAATCTTGTGCTTCACCTCCAAGATGCAGGCAGACTCCTCAGTGAGGGGCTGACAGAGTCCCCCATTTAATTAGCACGAGACCCAAATGCTCACTGACCCGTAGGTCTTTTCTTTTCCCCTTCCTGTCCTCACTTTCAGTTCTGCATTTTACTGCTCATTGCAAGTACTCCAGATAAAAAGCCTTTGTAGTGCTAGAGTATTCCCTTCATCAGCAAGCATTAAGCTGACAAGCGATCACCTGCATATTTTATATATATATATTTTAGAAGAGCTGATTAATTATCAATTCATCAGAGCGTGCTAATAAATGGAAACTGGATACTGATGAATTAGGCTACTAAAATATTCAGCTATATAAATAATGGCAAAAACACAGATAAAGCCATTGAAATTAAAACTCTGGCGGGGGGAATAATCACGCAGATATCATGAGGTTTTCCCTGTCACATTCCTAGCTCCGGGGAGAAAAAAAAAAAAAAAAAAAAAAAAAAAAGAAAAATCTTTTTCCTAATCACAATAAAAAAAAGGAGTGAATGAATGAAAGGAAAAGGCAAGCTGAACTGTAACTTACCCTTACAAGATCACAAAGAAAAAAATTAAGCTGAAACAAGCGAACTGCTGGACCATTTACTGTGAGTAATCCAATTGCAAAAAACCCTATTCCCCATAGAGGATTTTCACTAAAATCCTACAACAGGGACATTTAACCAGATTAGGTACCAGCAAAGATAAAGAGGCTGGTATTAGATGATGAATGGATTAGAGTCAGGTTTCATTTTAGAATGTGTCTTCATTTCCTTTTATTACTTTAAGTAAGGAACAATTTGCATTAACATCAAGTAAAAGGAATCACATTAAAATAAAGTAGTGATACCACGGCGGCCCCTGATAGCGCCGCTGCCGTTCAGGGTCCGCCAGCACTCTCCTGCTCGCCCTCCTGCCCAAGGACGGCTCCCACCCCACCGCTCGCTCCCCAGCACCCCCAAACACACGCGCTCTCCCCGTGCCAGCAGACAATTTACTACCGGATCTTGGTTCGAATGCTGCAAGCTTCCCTTAAAAGCGTTTCAAAAATAATTCACTTATTCTTTGGGAATGAGTTTCTAGACTGGGAGGAAGGAAGAGGGAAGAGAGACTGAGAGCTAGGAGGAAAAGAAACGCCAGTCTTCCCCCAAACAAACAAGAAGTCCCTCCATCGTGCTTTGGTCAAGACACGGCAGAGTGTCACCTTTGGCTCTTCCACCCTCCCCTGCGCCAGGAGGCTCCCCCAGCCCCAGCCCCTGCCCTACGTGGGTATTTGACTCACCCCTTTGATAACATGCAAAAAGAAGCATGCATCCAAGGCAAGCGAGCCAAAGACCAGGGCTTATGTTTCCCACAACTTTTACTGGGCTTATTTCTTTTTGCAGCCCTTACACAGAACGATTCCCCTCTAATAACGCACACGTGGCGCAGGAGAGTCCCACGTCAAGTGGCCACCACGCAGCACGCGACAGCCAATGCTACAAATTACAGCACGTTGTGTTGGCGTGGCTGTAGGTCAGGTCTCCTGCCAGCTGTACAACCAAGGACAACTTCTGGCTGCACAAGATCCATAACGGTTTCACATCAGAGGAGCTATGGGGATTTAGTCCCTTAATTCAAAAAGTCGTAGGAGATGTTCTAACCCAAAATCTGTTCTCTTCCAAGTGAACAATCCTAAGCAGTCCAAAAGTAACTGAAAGGTTTGGCAAGGGCTTCACGTAACAAATCACATTGCACACCACGCAAACTAGCAGGCATCTACTCAACAACGCAGGACATTATATGTCAAACAACCACTTGATCTGGTTCACAAAAAGCAATCATTCCCAATACGAGTGATCTTTGCTGGCCAAGAACTGCGTGAGCACTTGCTGTGAGGTGACCCACGCTGTGGCTGGTGGCTGCTGTAGCTCTGTGCTCTCCCAACTCTACCTTCACATCATGGCGAAAAACCCTCACCCAGATTCTGACAGACACTGAGGGCTGTCTTCCATGTAGAGCTTATTTTTCCAGAAACTGGAACTGGTTAGTTAAAAAAAATAAAGAAGTGACAGAACAACATTAGAGGGTCAGACTTAAGCCGACAAACAAGAAACAACACGTGAGAGGAGAGCTGGACTTGCATGCCTGTATCACCAAAGCCAGATATACCATAGGGGGTTACATGTAAACTGTGGGAAACTACCACCCGCTGCTTTGATATACCAAGACCCCCCGCAATATCTCCACAAAATGGCACGAGTGCTGAATTATTATGTATTTTACTTAACACCTTTCAGAGAAAAATAAAAAGCAAAAGGAAACAAAAAAATTAAAAATCCCTAGCCAAGAGTCTGAACCTTAGTCTGCAAACTTTTCCCCAGGTAAGTAATTTTTATTTGGGTGACTGCCCTGCAGTCAGACAGACAATTCCTATAAAGGTACTGGATGTAAGGACAGGATACTTTTTTGCCTCTCTGATGATGCTGAAGCAGAGGTGCGGGGAGAATGTACCAGGGAAAAAGGGGAAACTGTCACCTATGTAGTCAAAAATACGCTCTCCAGGACGGAGGAGTGTGATCCCTGCGAGTCAGTCTGCACCCGTATCACCACCCCAAGCTAGGTTTGGATTCTGTTTTGCACTGTTTATCACACGCCGGGCAGAGGGACCGTAACTCCCCTCAGAACAGCACGCACAATTTGCAAGCCAAGCTAATCATGCCTAATATGCTAAATAACCTCCCCTTTAAAAGCAGCATTCCTGAAGTTAACTAAGCTTCCTTGGAAAAGAGAAAAAGAAAGGACTAGCTGGGAAAAGAGCAGGATTAATCCTGCACATGCATCTTCCTTTGAAGTCAATGGGAGCTCTGCCCGAGTAACAAGCGTGGTCCTAACCCCATCCACTGGCAATGAAAGGTAAACCACAGAAGCCATCAATAGGAGACACCTATTAGATGACCTTAGCCATCCCCCTGCAAAAGGCCCTCTCCAATATACATTTGGGAGTACTTTATCAAGGGTAGTTTTAAGCTAGAAGCCATTGTGAGACACGGGAATTTCTCTGGCAACTTGATGAACTCCATTTAGGGCTATGTCAGGCACAGGGAGGGGAGCTGCACTGGGACACACAGATTAGCATCAGGGCATGCGGCAACAGGACGGGAACAAGTGGAGATTTCTAGAGAGAAATCCCAGCATCTACAAAGTACCAAGTCATCTGCTGATAAATCACTCCTCGCCACTGAAAGCTGGGGTCTCATATGCTGGGTTAGAGGGCACGGTAAAGAATTGCAAAAAAACAACAGAAGTTTGCTTTTCTCGATAACCCCTGCCTGAAGCAAACCAGAGGAAATTGTCCCCATAGGGACTCAGCTACTAAATCTCTCTATATGAATTTGGAATGCTTCTGGGAGTCCTTAAACACAGATGACATTAAACAATAATGGAGCTCTGGAATGAAAAAAAAAAAAAAACCACAACAAATTTTTGACTGATATACGTTTGAGAGGGATACTGAGATCCATTTAGCCTAAGTTCTGATAGGTGCCTTTAGGGAACAAAAAAAAAATAAATATCTGAACTTCAGATTTAAACTGCAGGGGACTGTGTGTATAAATTGCTGTGTATTAGTCTTTGTTGCATGGTAAGGACATTTCATTAACAGGATGAAAGATACTTCTATGCGAATACAGCCCAATTTAATACACCCCACTGATGAATACTCCCCATTTATTGAAGAAGTTAATACATGCTGTATAAATCAATAGTTCCTAAGTCTCTGAAAGCAACATAAGACTCGCACGAGATGAAACATTGTATTGTTGAGCGCACAAAGAGAAACCAACCTTTAAATAGGAAGAGTTTGTCACTGCAATTTTTGTTTGCAAATTCAGAGCTTATTTGGCTTTGGTAATAAAAACATGGTATCAATGCAAAGTCAGAGGAAAACATGCCAGAGAGACCAGAGGATTTGTCCTTGCCGGGATAACGTGGTTTTAGTAAAAGCAGGTCTGCAAAAAAAAGTCACCCAGGCTGAAAACAAGCCATCATGCCATTGCAGCATCGCAGCGGCCAAAGCCTTCGGCCTTGGATGAACGGCCGGCAGGAGACTCCACTCCGATGCATCCCCGGCCGAGCAGCCAAGGGCAGGGCAGGGGGGATGCTCCTGGCCCGGCACAGCCTGAAACGCTCCCGGCCGCCAGCACAGCTCTCCTGGCTGCAGCCAGGGAGGGACCCCCTTCCCCGACCCGGGGCAACCTTTTAAGCGTACTTTGAAGCCTCCAGTCCTGCTGGCGAGGCAGGGATGAGCTGCCACCCGCCAGGCACCCCCCAACCACCCGCAACCGGGAACGTGGCAAGGGAGGGACTGATCAGGCACTTGCACCCCGGACCCACAGAGCCCCCTGCCCGTCCTCCACTACGAGTAACAGCGGAGGAATGAGAGCTCACCATTCACCGTAAAAACCTATTAATCAACAGACACCGAAAACAAATGGAGCTAGAGCTCCGCCTGCCTTTTTTGCCATGTCTTCCTCTTCCCCATTTCCCCATTGCTCTCCCTTTCTGCTGAAGAAAGATGGGCCCTGAAAGTGCCTTTATGAGCTTAATACAATAAAACAAAAGCAGCACAGAAGAGGGTTTGTCAGCCTGTTCCCCTCCTCCAGGCTGGATGCAGGAGGTCGACAGTGGTCTTGAATTAGCAGGCCCTCCTGGAGTTGCTCCCTGGGCTAAGCAAA